TTTCTGTACTGTGTCTTACACTAAGTTTGTTCACTGAGAAGCCTAAATACTGCAAAGTTCCAGTATAACCCATGCTGCAAATTGTATCCCTGCCTTTTGATGGTCAACAGCCTAAACAAAGAAACAACCCACTCATAAGTCTCCTACAGTTAAAAATGAGTCAAAACTCCTTCAAGCTTGAACAGAACATACTGAGCCTGCTGGTACATAGTTACTCATTTGATCAATACAGGCTTGAGTGCAAGAACCCAAGATAAATACCAGTGCCTCCAAAATCTGCACTGACCCAGTCTTGTTTGAGACAGCTTTTATTAGTTCTTGACTAGAAATACTCATCAAGCATTTTTGTTCTTCTAGTTTGTAAAAAGCAGCTTGATGGGCTGTGACTGTGGTGTAGCCAGCGCAGGGCCCACTGCCCAAGCAGAGCAGGGAGAGGTGATAGGGAAATGAAAGACCGCTGCGCTTTGCTGTGAACTCCAAAAACTCCCCCTAATGCTGGACTGAAACAACTCAGAGGACAAGGATGGCCATCTGATGGTGTTCTAGGGCCAGAGCAGATTATAAGTGTTTTCATTTTTGTTCTGCTTGCTTGGGAGGCCTAAACTTTTCCTACAAGCAGGGGCGGCATGAGCGGGGCCCGAGGGCGGCCCAAGCTGAGCCCTGCGCCCTGAGCGAGGGAGGCAGCACCACACAGAGGAGCCCCCTTGCCCACGGCGGGAAGGGCGGCGTTGGCTTCTCGTGCCCGTCACCTCAGAGCCGCTCCAGCTTGTGGTAAATGGGAGCGGGGACCGGTAGGTTGTGGGTTTGGCTCATTGGAGCGGGGCGAGTCCAACAGGGGCGCCCGAGCCCTGCAGGCCCCACGGACCGAGCGCAAGGGACTCGGTGCTGCTCGTGCGCTTGGTGTGAGGCACCTGCCAGCTGCTGAGAGGAACGGAGCGCATTTGGGGAAAACAAAAACAAAAAAGGTGTTTTGCGAGATCGAAGGAAGCGCTGGTGTCTGCGTAGTGATTTGCGTTGCCATGTATTTATATGGAGATTTTTTTTTCATGGAGATGGCAGTGTGTAATAGTCATAGCCATGCTGGATGAGAACATTTAAGCCCATATGCCTAAAAGCGCTCTACTGACGTCGTGATTGACTGCAGCAGTTTTTTGACTCCACTCATTCTGTGCTGAGGTAGGTAGAATTGTTTGTAAGGCGCTCAACTTAAAAAAAAAGAAATGCATGAAAAGATTTTTTTTTTTTTGATAACTTAATCAAGTTGATGATAAAATGTCCAGGCAGCCCCAGGTAAAAACCTGTCCTTGCCCAGAGACTTCTTGAAAGTAAGATCCAAATCCATCCTTTCTGAGATGTAATAGTAT